GGCAACGGAGTCCCAGATGAACTTGGTCTTAGATGAGGTGAGAAAATGAAGAGGAGCTGCAACAGAACTGTAGTTCTTAATGAACCTCCTATAAAAATTTGCAAAACCGAGAAACCTTTGCAGCTGTTTACGATCCTTGGGCTTGGGCCAATCCACCACCGCTGATACCTTCCCGGGTTCCATAGATACTTGACCTGGAGAAATGTTGAACCCAAGGAATGAGGTGGACACTTGGTGGAAAGCACACTTCTCTGCCTTGACAAACAAGTTGTTCTGTAAAAGGCGGGTTAAGACAGCTCTGACATGGCGACGGTGAGAAATGCTATCTTGTGAAAAGATAAGTATGTCATCAAGGTAAACAAAAGCGTAAATGTTAATCATGTCACGAAGGACATCATTAACCAGGGCTTGGAAAACGGCAGGAGCGTTGGTGAGTCCGAATGGCATAACAAGATATTCATAATGGCCATCTGCGGTATTAAAAGCCGTCTTCCATTCATCTCCCTGCCGTATCCTGACCAAATGGTAAGCGTTGCGAAGATCCAGTTTGGTGAATATCTTAGCATTTTGGATTATATCAAAAGCAGAGTTCATGAGGGGCAGAGGATACTTGTTCTTTATGGTTATTTTGTTAAGTTCTCTATAGTCAATGCATGGACGAAGTGACCCATCTTTCTTCCCTACAAAGAAAAAACCTGCACCAGCGGGGGATGCTGAAGGTCTAATGATACCAGCTTGGAGGGACTCTGTTATATATTTCCTCATGGACTCTTGCTCGGGACCAGACAAAGAATATAATCTACCCCGAGGGGGGGTAGAACCTGGGATCAGGTCAATACCACAATCGTATGGACGATGTGGCGGAAGGGACGTAGCTTTTGATTTATTAAAGACCTCTTTCAAATCATGGTACTCTTTAGGTACCTGACTTAGATTAGGATAGGTCTCTTCATTGGCTGTGACAAGGGCTGGTGAACTGGGTTGGCTCTGAATACATGTAGAATAACACTCATTAGCCCATCCTACAATCTCTTGGTTCCTCCAATCGATTTGGGGGTTGTGTTTACGTAACCAAGTGGACCCTAAAACCACTGGGAGTTGGGGTGAATCAATAACAATAAATCTGATCAGTTCCGAATGGTTGTTGGCCGACACCATGGTGACTGGAACAGTTTCAAGACTAGATTGGCTTAAAGGATGACCATCTAAAGCGAGGACCTTATGGTTGTTAGGTGATGGAACAATGGTCAGATCTATGGATTTGGCAAAAGTTTTATCAATGAATTCCGTGTCGGCCCCTGAATCAATAAAAGCTGAGACGATGACGGGTTGACCACCCTTTATTACGAACTTGACCTTGGACTTGGACAAGATAGGTGGAGAGGACTTGATCTTATGACTAAGACTCAACAGGAGCCTCTCTTCTCCTGCTGAGCCTGGTCTTTTAACTGGACAATGATGACAATCATGACCGCCTTGACCACAATAAAAACAGAGATGGTACCTCCTCCGACGTTCTCGTTCCTGGGTGGTCAGACGACTTCTTCCTAGTTGCATGGGTTCCGTAGCATACAGAGGATCCTGAGGGCTCTTGGTTTGTTCCGTTCTTGGTTCATGATCCACAAGGTGATGTCTGGTTCTGGACATGGCTGTGGCCTTGCCTCGACTCTGTTCACGATCACGCTCACGCTCACGCAGGCGAAGGTCAACACGGGTGGCCACCTCCTCCAGCTGGCGTAGGGATGAGGGATAGTCCATTGTTGCCAGCACATCCTTAACATCTTCATTAAGCCCCCTGAAGAAGGCGTCAGTGAGTGCGTGTTCATCCCAATGACTGTCTGCTGAAACAGAGTGAAAGTGAATGATGTATTTGGTTACAGAATCCTTGCCTTGTTTAATATCAAAAATTCTTCGGGCTGCCTCTCTCTCAGGGAGGATGGGGTCAAAAACCCGACACAACTCTTTGGAAAACTCAGAAAAATTACGACATACCACGCCACCTTTTAACCATTCAGAAGTGCCCCACGTCTTGGCTCTTCCAGCGAGAAGTGAGACAGCATAAGCTACTTTAGCATGCTCAGTGGGAAAACATGAAGGTTGCAATTGAAATTGAATGTCACACTGAGTCAAAAATGGCCGACATTGCTCAGGCTCACCTCTGAAATGTTCAGGGGGGGCTAACCGTGGTTCTCTTGGTGCAGGAGTCAACAGGGTTTGGTTGATGACTTGGTTTGACTGTTGGGACAAAGCTTGAAGAGAAACAACCATTTCCTGAAGCCCTTTCTCAAGTTTACTAACAGCCCCTTCTACCTTAGAGCACCACTCTCGGGTTGGTGTTGGATCCATAATGGCCAGATTCTACTGTCATGAACCAGAGGCCGGATCGCAAACAACAACAACAACCACTGAGAGGGTTAAAAGATTTATTGTGAACTAAAGTAAACTCTGGAGTTGGTCCTGTTCTGGACTGGTTCCGATCTTCTGATTGGGTAGTGTTGTAGTGGCGGGCTGCCAGTAGAAGTAGACTGATGTTAAGGTCCACTGGAACGGAGTCCCACAGGCTTGCAATTAAAAGATAAAGGTTAGTAGATGCAGGGGGAAAAAGACTAATTGGGGAAATGAATCTGTGGGAATCAGATTCAGGGGTAAGGATAAGTCCGTGATACAAAATGAGCTTGACCTTTAATCCGTGATCCATAAAACAGTCAGAAGGGAAAGGCAGAGTTCATACCGTGAAGTCAGTTGTTCAGCAGAAGTATCCAGTACGTGATCCAAAAAGAGAGTCAAAAAACAAGAGCATGAGTCGGTACCTGATCAGATGAGCAAAAGCAGACGAGGGCTGAGGCAAAAGCGTGGTCGTGGTCAAGGCAAGGGTCATGAACGTGATGAGTCAATCAATGGAATGCTGGAAAGTCTACTGCTGATGAGACAGGATAGAGAATCTGGCCCAGACTGAGAGGAATGAGTGAGCTTAAGTATTGACTGGACCAGGTGGTGGAGCTGTGGGATAATGAGCGGTGACAGGTGACATGAGTTGAGTGATTACTGAGTGTGCAGCATGACAGAGGAGCTGACAGAGAGCAGAGCTATGACAAGGACAATGAATTATCGTTTAGTGCTTCGTGGACCACCTCGTCGTAAATGCATATGTAACGTGTTCATAAATGTGCTTGGCTGGCAAAGTTTTTTTGATGTCTTAAATCGTTTCCTGTTAGGACAAGGTGTGAAGAGATCTTTTTTTGTAATACCACTATCCTATCCTCTTGGCTTTGTCCCTTTTTCTATCTAAAAAAAATGTATTCTGAAAAGGATAAGAAGGCCATGCTTACAGCAGCAGCTTCGTGCACTTCGCCCATCTTTCGGACAGCTTCTACATATTCTCGTTGTATCTCGGTGCAAATGATAATAAAGCTTATTCTGATTCTGATTCTGATTCTGGACCAAGATGAAGACAGACACGGAGCTCAGGTAAAACAAAAACTTTTTTATTTATGCAATAAACAAAACAAAAGGCAGACATGGTGGAAAAACTTATATAAACACGAGAGCACGAAGAAGTCTGAGGAGAACACGATTGGGACTGAGACACATGGAAAAATCCAATACAATGAGCCTCTGAGGAAGTAGTGATCACAACTGGCATAAACAGGATTGCTAATTGGAACAGGTGTGAGCGTTAACCTGAAAAACTAACTATGTAGAAGCAGTCTGGTGGTGAAGGTTAGAACTGGCACAGGGAACACGGCAGCTGACTCAAAACACAAGAGATGTAAAAAACATTAACCATAAGGAGAAATAAAATTAAAAGATAAACCAAATAACCAGAAAAAAAACAGAATATGGCTATTACAATTCAGACCTACTCCTTATATTCATTAGTCTCAGCTGTTTTTAATGGAAATCACCATTTGTGATGCATGCTTGTCATTGTTTACATCGGTGTTTTGTTATAATGCCCGGTCAGATTTTTACTTTTTTTACTGAATTATTTTATTGTGCATCTAGCCTTTGAGTCTCAGGCTACATTCTTGGGTCCTTCCTTGCACGCATCACCCTGATGTAAAGGACAGAATTACATTGTGAGTAAGGATTAAAATGTATTTTAATAAATAACTGAATCGCATCTTGATTAAGTGCTAAATTATACCATGACTATTGGCTGAATTACATTGTGGTTAATCATGTTGTAATTAATAACAAAATCATATTGTGAATAATGACAGAACCATGTTGTGATAAACGGCTGAACTGTATTGTGTTTGTTTTTTGCTGATTATGCATCTATAATGCATCAGATCACCGACAGTGTGTCAAGATACAGTACTTATTGTAGCAGCGACAAACCCTAGTCACCACATTACTGTTGTATTTGTCATGATGCAGATAACTTACAAGGTAATAATCCCTGCTGCTGGTTCGCATTTTCATGAGCTACAGAGCATTTAAATAAGTTTCTAATTCACGGTTTAAATGACGTTGAAATTACTCTACCTGCATTCATATCTACCTAAATTACTGAACATTTACTAACTTTATTAAATAAGCAAATATTTACATTTTTAATTTTCATTCTTTCCTAAATGTTACTTTTTCTGAGCTCACAAACGCACAAAAAAGTTATTTTATTCTCTATGAAATGAAACGCTCATATTTTGTAGGTTTGCTTGAAGCCTTTTCATCTCTCAGCTTCCATTTTGAGATGTAAATAATATTGTGGGTTTTCATACCTCACAGTAAAATAATATACTCCTTCCTTCAAGCAAAACCAAGGCTAAGTTTAAACAAATATCATGTGACTCGAGTCACATAAGAAGCATCTAAGGCCCTGTACACACGTAGCCTGGTGTTTGAAAAAACGAATATCCGCGCAAAAAAATATCGCCGTACATACATGTTCGGATAGAGAAAATGATCGTCTACATGAACCCGGTGATGTTCACCACAGAGCGTTGTAAAGAATATGCCCAACCCATAGGAGGCAGTGTAGTGCAAAGGTGAAACGTATATCAGCAAATCACAACCCTTCAAAGCAACCACAACTTCCTGTTAGTATTGAATCATGGCGCCTGGAGGTTCGTTTGTGTGGACAGACCGCGAGGTTGAACTACTATTAAATACCGTGTTGGAGTACAAAGTTAATAAAACTCAGGAAAATGTCGACTGGGAATCCTGTCAGAACAAGTATGTTGATATTTTAGCGCTTTTTTTAGAGCATTACCCAACGGAGTCCTCCGACGAGTTTCCCCATTCACATGCCGACATCACGCGCGGGAATTTAACAACAAAAATGAAAGCAGTCCGAGGTAAATATCGCCATGCTGTTGATACAGGACGCAGGAGTGGACACGGTCGAGTGGTTCTTCTGTACTTCGAACTGTGCGAACAAATCTGGGGTGGCTCTCCAGCTAGTACTACCATATCCTCCGGTATTGAAACAGCTGACCTGGATCATTCTCGGACCCTACCCTCACCATCCACATCTTCTTCCTCCACTACCATGGATGTAGCAGACACAGGGTCTGATAATGAAAGCAGTGTGGGTCCTACTTCAAAGGAGAGGAGAGACCTGCTTGATGTACGTATATTTTTCTGTCCATTCCTCATAAATAAAAGTACTTTTGCTGTAAATGTTCATCTGTTGGATGTACTATAATTCACGGAACAGGTTTGTTGAATTGTGTTGCTATTAAAAATACAGTTAAGGCAATATGTGTGTTAAAAATTATGCAAGAGTTGAGGTGTGTAGTGGAGGCTGGAATGTGATGTTTTTTATATTTTACTGTGTACGGGTTGCTGATTTATTTTTATTATTATTGCAAAAAAGAAATGACACCATCATGCTCTTACTCATCTCATATTATGTTAGGCCTACATATTCATTAGTTTGATGGGGTGGTGGGTACAAAATACACTTTAAGACATATAGCAAACATTGGATACGCTGTTATTACATATTGTTATGTAGAAGTGATGTGAAAAGTACAACATCAACATGATCCAGGTTTACTTTTTTATGTTTAATTGTGATGATTTTCATTTCTCTTTTGAAGGCAAAACTAAAAGGACACAGACACGACCGTCTGAGGAGAAAGCTGCCTGCTGAGACCCAGTGGCTGAATGCTCTTGAGGAAGACCAGCGTGTGAAAAAGAGACTGGTGGAAATCATTGAGACATCAGAACAAAAAGCATCCGAAAACTATTCAAAAATGTCCAATACACTGGAAAGACTTACCACATCGATTGTTGATGGGTTTTCTCTTCTGAAACAGGTCATTCATGCACCTGCACAACCACCACACTACATGCCATATGAGCCAAGAGGTCCGATGTATTCGCACACAATGGCCCACCATTCTGTCCACCAAAACTCAGCAAATTACCCATACCCAAACAACTCCACTTCTGACAGAACACGTCAAAACACAAGACCAGGAAACACTATGAACACTGAAGCTGTGTTCCACACACCTGCTGAAGCCACTGACCAATTTTCATTCAGTCAGGCCCTTTTTAATGACCAGTAGAGTACTGTTTTATACATCGAAACAAGTCTGGTACAGTTAAGTATATACAAGTTCCACTTTTGCACAAGGTTGCACACATGTCAGGTTGTTAATCACAGTGTTATTTACTCTGACAGTGTTTTTTTTCTGTTTGCTATCTTTTTATACATACTGTGAAAAGCTTAAAATGTAGCAATTGCACAATACTTTAACTATTTACATTTTTGTTACGTGAATCTTTATAAGAGTGGTGATCTAGTCCAGTCCTTGGGAGCTACTGCTACTTAGATGTATTTCTCCAAAACACCACTATCAAATACATACTGATGATTGAAATCAGCTATTTCATACTGGTTTGTTGAAGAAAATGCAGCTGAAATGTACCTGTGGTAGCTCCCAAGTTATGGACTTGGGCATCACTGATTTAAAAGTGTACAGTAACTGTGCTGCTTTTCTCCCATGTTTAAAAAGCTTTATCTGTTGTAGATCTGTTATAATCTGATCTGTTCATAAATGAAACACAAAATAAGAACATGTTAAGTGTGTTCGTTTGAATAAATTGACAAACATTTTAAAAGCAAGTTTCTTTATGTGAATTTTTGTGAATATGACATTTATCAGTTACAAATACAGTCATGTTCATCAGAAAGTATTGGCAGCACTATTTAATACACTACAGGTCCAATTTTAAGAGAGAAAAGTAAAATCATTTCACTTAAAAGTCTGTCTAATGAGCTACAAACTATTATATAATGTATCTAAATCCTGGGTGGTAGCTTTTCATGCATTAATAGAATGAAATGCAATAACATTGCACAAAACAATTTAAAAATTCTCTAACATACATGGTGCTAACTATAACGTTTTTTTATGAAAAAACAACGCAGTCTGCTAAATAGTTCACAGGTTTTTGTGTTTATGGATCCAGACACTGAGTGAGGACTCTCCTGACCCGCTTTCCTTCTGCTGCCAAGCTGTCTCCTCTGACCACTGGCTGTGTGTCCGGTTGATTGTTCCTGTCATGTTGAATAGCTTCAGTTATTCTGTTTTCATCCACAGTGTCTTTTGATGCCTCACAAAAATTGTGCAACACAAAACATGCATATATAACAAATGGAAGATCGTTCATATTGATGTCCATGGCTCTCCTCAGGGCTCCAAATCGGGCTTTTAGTCTTCCAAATGCACATTCAATCACCATTCTAGCTCGGCACAACGAAAGTCCAAAGTACTGCTCCTGAACATTGCTTCCTCCGTTAGCATATTCTTTCATCAGGTAAGGTAGAAGTGGGTATGCAGGGTCACCCAGTATGTAAATGGGTATAGCGTCTTCGTTCTCCACAATTTGTCTTGGACAGGGGGGAATCTTCATGTTTTTCAGATTTGTGTTTATTGTGGAGTTAGCAAAAACTCTGGCATCATGCACACTCCCTGGCCATTTCACAACTACATCAATAAAGCTGTACTTGTAATCACAGGTGGCTTGTATGTTAAGAGAAAACCTCCCCTTCCTATTTAGGTACTCTGTAGAATTAGCTGATGGCTGCTTTATCTCCACATGAGTCCCATCCACAGCTCCAAGGCACTGAGGGAGACCATAAGCCTGCTCAAATCCCTCAACAAGTGCACGCACAGCAGTCTCTGTTGTTGGCATTTTTATGTAAGATGGTCCCAAGTACACAGTTATAGCCTTACACACCTCTCTAATTATGTTTGAGACTACTTGTCTTGATAAGCCAAATGCATTGGCCGTTTTACGCAGTCTTCCCTCGTCAGCCAAATAATATAGCGTGCATGCAACTTTTTTGACCACACAGACTGGAGATCGCATTACAGTACTCTTCCCTTGAATGTAAGGAAGGAGTAACTCCGAGAGCGACAGTAATGACGACCGTGACATTCTGAAGTTCTCACGCCATTCCTGTGGGAGAACAATTTCCTTCTCAAAGTTTTCCCACCAGCCAGCAGTGCGTCCAGGTCTGATCCAAAACCGGCGACGGCGACGCTGAATGGCGGTATTGTGCCTCCGTATCGGTAGGGATAGTTGCTGTAAAAGAGCTGAACGCCAAACGCTTTTTCTCCTTTGTAATTCCATCTGTTGGAGCAGTTGTGCTTGTAAAAACAAGCAAGCAAAAATTGCCTGAACCAGCGTTACAATTAGTACTTCCCTAAACGCAGTCATTTTCCCTCCGAATGAATGGGCAAACAAAAACAATTGTCGCACATGTGACGTCAGCGCCGCGCTGCACCATCTGTCGCAGACATAATGCGCATATCTCCGGTTCCGAAAGTCCACACGCAAACCCGAAAGAGGAGATTTCTCAAATCTCCACTTTGGTCGGAGTTTTTGTTATTATTCGTTTATAGTTACATCAACCGGAGTTCACGTGTGGATGAAAGGCCACACCGCATGATAAACTATTCGGTTTTCCTGATATCCGGCTACGTGTGTACAGGGCCTAATTCATGACTTCCAACAGTCCATGGCATCAGTGATTCAATTAGCTGGAGCTGTGAGAAGAGAAAAACAGCATGTGATCTGTCCTTCCACATTGGCCATCATCTTCATCAGGTTTTGTTTCCTCTCATCTTCTTCCCTCACTGACTAGCCTGCAGCTCTGCTTTGGACACAGTAAATGCAGCAGAACTGTTCATCCATACCCTACAATCCAATCACTTCCACCATGTATCTGTGTCAGTGTCAGGGGGGAGCGTTGGCCAGTGTTCTTTCAAATGCAACCAAACAATTTAGAGTAAAAAATCTAATTTTTCTGGTGGCAGAATGTAGAAACAAAAACAACTTATCACCTCATCAAACTAATAATTAAATTATATCTTTGACAATTCAGAAACAAAATTTTGCACACTCTTTGCTTTAATAACCCCTGCAGGGGGAAGCCTTTATCGATTGTTATGATGGTTGCCTGAGGAGCCCTCTGCTGTAATACCAGCTGGAAGGCATGTCACGTCATTCCTCTTCTAACCCGTTCAGCCGTACTGAGATGAGGCACAGCACAGGAAACATGAATAATTCATTGTGGTCTCAGTGTGGTCTACTTGTAATATAGCTTGTATCCTCGTCGACTGCACCAAAAATGGAAAATGTTTTGCTTAACTCATTTGACAGAGGCTCTCTGTGGTGATTTCAGCAGGAAATGGTTTTACCCTGGTTTGGAACCTGGTTGGAGCAGGTTAGAGGTCAGCTAAAGTCTAATATCATCAATAATTATACAATAAATGAGACAGTGTTGAGCATAATCTTTACTCCAGTTCATCCTGAAGGTGTTTGATGGGGTTGTGATTAGGTGCTAAATACTGAGACGTTTATTTTCTAAACATAATGTCCCAGTGGCTTTTAAACCCCAAAATACATTACGGCAAAGATTGGTTCATCCCAAAGATCCAGTCCCCCAGCACAAACAGAGTAATATTGTGTATGCTGTTCAGTGTCAGGAGGGCTGTGATCAGTCTTACATCGGGGAAACTAAACAACCACTGGCCAAAAGGATGGCCCAGCAAAGAAGATCAACATCATCAGGCCAGGATTCTGCGGTCTACACTCATCTCCAGGCCAGTGGTCACTCTTTCAAGGATGAAGATGCTCACATCTGTAGTGAACTAAGCCTCAGGTCAAATCCCGACCCTGAGGGCCTTCCTGGGACAGGAACTGTTATTTCATTGATTTGAGTCCAGAAACACAAATTAAGCTCATCCAGAGACTTTCTAAGTGTGTCCTGCACTAATCAATTGAAAGAACACTCTGTTTTTATTATCATTACTATTTTACAATATCTTGATAATCAAAGTGTGTTTAGTTCAAACCATTTTAAATGTTGAAGTGAACTACTCACTTTAAATCAACTGTGAAACAGTATTAATGATTTTTAATCCTCATTCAAAGTAGAAATCAAGTTAGATGTCTGTTACAAAGTAATTATGCATTTTTGATTTTCTGTCTGAAATGAGCAAGTTGTGATATCGGTCAAAAGTCAGAGAACGGTCAAAAACATGTTTATCGGAACGAACTGTCATGTTTAACTCTCTCAGACAGATAGAAGGAAGACTGGCTCTTAAATGTCTCTGTTTCTTCAAAACATCTTTCTGTCTGTTCTTAAAACATCTACTCTGTCTCCTTGACATGTACTGACCCTCTGACGTCACTAAAACCACACCCCGGTTGGTTCTTTCAACCAATCAGGAAGTTCTCAGGGGAACCGGAAGTGACCTCTTTAAAAGGGTCGACACTTCCTAGTTCCAGGCAGAACAAGAGTTCCAAAAGGAACAATGTTCAGAGCAGAACAACGTTCAGAGCAGAACAACGTTCAGAGCAGAACAACGTTCCAGAGCAGAACAACGTTCCAGAACAGAAGTTCTGGAGTTCAAAGTTCTGAGACATGAACCAAAGTTCTGAGAGCAGAACCGAACGAAAGTTCTGAAGTGCTGGAGTTAGTTGGGAGTTCTTTCGAGTCTCGTGGGGATTATGGAATCTTCCACATCTGAGTGGAACTCTGACGGGCTCACAGCTCATGTGAGTCCACCTGGGAGGTGAGCGTGCTGTTGAACGAAGTACCGTCACTACTCCGGACATTTCTCTGCTATCCTACGGAGACGCTGAAATAGTAATGTTGAAAGAGAACTCTACACCAAAGCTGAGATATCTTCTGCAAGGTAAAGAGTCGATTTCCACTACCGAAGTGTACCGAGGTAGAGCTGGGTTCGAATGGAGGGTGTCGTTCTTCGTCAACACATTGTCCCTCACACATCTTTTCTCTCCATTTAAACTCCTTCATTTTCCCATCTTTAAAACTCTTCTATCTGCCAGTAATTAATCCAGATATTTTCAGAAATGTCTGTTGTATTTCAGTTGCAAGTGAGAAATCATGGCCGTATGATTTCTCATTGTAAAGCTCATTAATTAAGCTGTGTTAATTGTAATCAATCTGCCAATTAATGTAAATGTGTGATGTGTTTTAAATCGTTTAAAATAAACGACCCACTGTTGTTGGTGAGTCAGAAATTAAAACACGTTTCCGTCCACATTTAATATTCAAAACACGATATTACTCAGTCCAGAAAAATGAAAGAATCCGTTTAAATTA